GTGGTAGTAGTAGTAGCGATTTCTTCCACGGCCGGCCGGCCGGCTGGCACCTTGATCGGCCGGCCGGCCGGCTGGCACCTGGAGCGGCCGGCCGGCCGGCTGGCCATAGCGGCCGGCCGGCCGGCTGGCCATAGCGGCCGGCGGGCCGGCCATGTAGTAGTAGTAGTAGTGGTGGTGGTAGTAGTAGTAGTAGTAGCCGACGGTCGTTGATCAGCCGGCCGGCCGGCCGGCTGGGCTGTGGATCTTGGCCGGCCGGCCGGCTGGCTGGACCGTGGATCTTGGCCGGCTTGGCCGGCCGGCCGGCCGGCCAGCTGGACCGTGGTTCTTGGCCGGCCGGCCGGCTGGCTGGCTGATCGAGAAATAGCGGGCCGTGATAAGCTCGCAATGCAAATAATCGTCCTAGCCCGACTCTTCATCTTGAGCTCGGAAACAGTATCAAGGCCATGGAATCCAATCCGGATTCTTGACTTGCCACCTGGACTGACATAAACCGTGCGCACACAAGGCCGTCAGTAGCTAGCATGATGCCACAAAATGCCACTGGCATGAATTGTCAGTTACTTGTCCGGGGCAACCATAGCTTCAACCCATCCAATCGAACTGGGCCAGTTCAAGGACAAAGTGTTTCCCTCCAATTCCCTCCCATCATCGCCCCTAAACTCCACACTGGGCTATCCACCATCAAGTCTCACCACTTTCTGTACTTCTCTCGTCACCCCCTGGCCAAGAATGAACATGTCATCATGTCATTGAGTACCGACAACACAAAATTAACACATGATGAAACATGATGGATATCTTGTGACCAATGTGAAAACAAAAGGCTACGCGCCAAGGGCTATGCTCCCAAAAAATGTTGCAAAGCTGTTACTTAATGGGTTGTCCCACATCCCAAGATTAAATTTTACATATCATGATACAGTATCTCGGAAGGGATTGATGCTATCCGGTAACCAGGTATGGTTCAATCTCTCAATGATTCACCAGTGGTTTTACTTGGTTCACCTGTCGGTCCTCAGCATATCGACATCAGTCCATGAGGAAACTAGTCTTGCGACAACACTATCAAACGTTCCCACCCTACCAGTCTCTTCTCACCGAACCAAGGAAAAAAGCAAGCTTTTTGATAGACTAGCTATTAATAGTTCATACAAGCTACGTCAAAACACACGTTTTCTCTCTCTCTCTCTCTCTGTGCGTGTTCGCTGCGTGTTGGTGTGTTTTTCCACTGCGTTTGCTCAGCGTGCTTTTTTGGCTCGACAGTTGTTTTCAGTCTTCGTACGCAACTGTGTGATGCTAGTAAACGATAGTAAACGCAAATGCGTCTGCCATGCCACATGAACAATAAACTGCATGGCTGCCATATGGCTCTCAATGCCTGCACACCGTGTTTTGACATGTTTTTGAATGCCTCTTCTTAGCTTGTGGGGTCGTATTATGTACAACCTCGACGACGTCAAGGTCGCCGTCCCACCAGGCCCTGTCCGTCAAGTTTTTTGCGCTATGCATGTCATAAATTTAAATGCGTTTTTGGGACTGCGAAAACGCATTTGGCTTGGCCAGGTTCCTTTCTCTTCCCAGATGCATTTTCAGGGGCGCAAAACTTGCAAGCCGTGCGTTGTCCGTGCAACAGCCAGGAGACAACCAAACAAATCCAAACAAATGCTTTTAAGGGGATCAAAGCTGGCAAGGCTCGAGAAACTTTCTTCGCATGATCCGTGACCGGCTGTCACTGTAACACTGACAATGACGTCAAGGTTGTACATAACAGGAAACACTTTTTACATTTATAACAATAAGAAGGAGAGCAAACCAAACACACTGCTTGAGCAAAACAACTCTGATTTTGAACGCATAAACTCAACCAGTTCTGCATTTCCCTCAATGCAAAAGACACGTACAACTCCACGGTTCCCACCATTCTACTTACAATTCTGTTTACATAGCACCGCTGCGTGTTCAATGTGCCTGCGTGTTTCCAAATGCCTTTCGCGTTTAAGCAACATGCGTGTTTTCTCAACTCAGGAGTACTAGTGTAAGTCCAAATTGGAACCAACAAAGCCACATGTGTACCACAAATTTCCAAACCGGTCCTGTCGAAAGTCTGCTAAACCCAATGTCCAAAGCATCCGGTTCTTGTCGTTCTTGCCTCTCCATCATCTTTGGCGATGGCCTCCGGAAGGATGATCAACCCAACAAATACTATAATTGCATTACAACTACAAACAACATCTGAGCATTTCACCGTGGACATGACATGCACCATTTTTCAAGGTGGGGTATGTACGGCAGACCACACAACACACCTGGAGCAAACAATGAGAGAAAACAACAAAACCACATGTAACAGCTTACAAAGCCTTTTTTTGGTGGATGCGATCTTCAGAAAGCATTCGCTAGAGCTTGTTGGCCTTTCTTCAATTACGCTCTACCCAGCATCAGTGGGTCCACGAAGGGTGACAATGCCCTCACTCCACTTCAAGTTTCACCAAACTAACTATACTTGATCTTAGCTTCAACTCCTTTTCTTATCTACTTGATGCTACAGTCAAAAGTTGACTTCCTTGGCGGACCGTCAGCCTTATGATGAGCTCGTGATGCGGCACCTTTGGGACGACGTGAGATGACCTCTCCCGCAATGGGCACCTCCACGGCAAGTGAAGGAAACAAAAGAGACGTATGAACAAGTGAAAAAGGAACTTAAACAAAATAGAGAAAGAACAATAAGTGAAGCGATCGACTACAGTATTGTATCCGCGATCGACTATTGTATCCTGTGTGTCTTGAATTCTGGTGACCACAAAGCCAGCCGCAGAAAGCTCTTGCGCCAAGCGTTCTAGCAAAGCCTTTGACATCAAGAATATGCTGTGGATGTTAGCTCTCTAGATCTCTTCGGATCCACTATTTCATTCTCGTTCGTGCAAGATAGCGGGTTCACACGCTAGGGGGTCATGCGCAGCACAGTCTGCGTCTTTTCGAGCATAGCTCAAGGGCCCTGCGGTCACAGGGTCGTGAGGTTCGAACGACATGGACACATGCCAAACTTGCACTGGTCTTTCTTTAAAAAGACGAAAAAGTGCTTTTGAGGTTCTGTACAGTGCTATGGACTCCGCGACTGCATGTCAAAGTCGTCGATGGAGTCGCTTCGGCCGCCACCATGGAAAGGCGCCCTTCGTCAAGGATCTTCCTCAGCTCATGCTGGGGCTTGATCTTGGTCAAGTGGTCGGCACGTTGAACGTGTGTCGAGACCCACTTGTAGACGTCCTTGACGTTCTCTCCGGAGGGCTCCAACTCCTCAGCCGCTTCTCGCAAGGCGCCGATATCCAAGGTCAGGCGCTTCTCCTGAGTGCTTCCCAAGGGGCCGTCCTTCACCAGGAGGTCGTAAAGCGAGCGGCAGTCTGTGGCAGTGGCTGCTGGAAAAATCTCGGGCGCCAATCTGCCCGATTGCGTCGGCTGGTAGCTCTCGATGAGCATCTCGGCCAGCAGCTCCCTCGTGAACAGCACTGCATCTGTGGCAGCGTCCAATCCCATGGTTTCCGCAGCAAGCGTAGATCTGCACTTGCGACGGATCCTGTGTGACCTCCATTCCACCAGGTTCGCCACATCGCCGGCCAAGGTGAAGACCTCTGGGCCAGTGATGAAGACCAAATAGCCAGCCTGGGACTTCAAGTCGTCCGTGTTCGCCCATGATGCATCGCTGAAGCCAATGATGCGGGCTTTTGTCAAGTCCAATGGCCGGAATTGGAGTGCCCAATCCTTTGATTTCAATGCCTCCTTCAAGAGGTTGTTGATGGCGAGGAGGTTCTGGATGGTAGGATTTCCACCCATGTTCAAGGATGTTCCTGCGGCCAGGTCGGGACGTGTCTGTCCGACAAGCCAATGCAAACAGCCTCCACCGCTCTTGAGCTCGGTGGTTTCTTGGGCGTTGAGTGCCGAGTCCTTCATGATGGTCCTCCACTTCGGCGCGGGTGTCAATGTCAAAGCCCTGATGAAGGCTTCTTGCGACAGGGTGATGATGTCGCCCTTCTTGGAAATCTCCTTGCCGCCATAAATCAAAGTTGGCTCCTCTCTGATGTCCTTCCATTCACCAAAGTCAAACTGGGCTCGAAGACGTTCAAGGACTTTGTCTCCAACTCCAGGCTCGCACACACATAGAAGGTCATCCACGTGTGCGCCAACTGCCACAACCAGTCGCTTGTCCTGGTAGAAGAGGAAGACGGCCTTGTCGAGCGTCGACTGCATGAAGCCCAACTTCACCATGGAGTCCCGCAGGTGCCGCCAAAAGAGGCGTGGTGAGTTTGCCAAACCAAAGATGCCCCTAACAACCAAAAGTAACTGGCCAGGGTGTAGTCCTGGTAGTCCTTCTTTCGGCTGCCTCACAAACAAAGGCTCTTTCCTTTTCGCTAGGGCCTGATCGCCCTGCAAGAACGCGCCGGTGATGTCAGCGCAGATGATGAACCAGCCCTTGTGAGCAGCTGCAAGTTGCAGGAGGATCGTGAGGCTGAGACGTGTCATCGTGAGAGCGTCTCTTCGAAGTTCCAGCAAATCTGGATCTGCATCTCCTCTGCAAACGATGCGGGCCTTTGGTTTGATCTCCAACCAGGGCGTTGCGGCGTGCTTGTCACGGTAGCACGCCCGAGCCGCCAAGATCCGAGCGGGATCAAAGGACAGTTCCACCTGTCGGCTGCAGTCCCAACTCAACACACGAACGGCCTCGTAGCGAAGCCAGGTTGTCCATTCTTTGACCAGCGCCTGTCGGTAGAGCTCCCGTTGGTCTTCAGGAATTGCACTCCAGGGAAGCTCCTTCTCAAGTGCTTTGCGCTCTTTACGGCTGATCTCGGACTGCATCTCCAGCACGTTGTGGATCATCATGACGTGGCTCTTCTTGTCGATGATGGAGAAGATGGTCACGCCAGTCCAGACCTTGCCCATGACTTCGGCTCCACGTTGGACCCAATCATCCACGTGCTTAGTCCAGCCAGTGTCGGTTTTCATCCATGTCACTCTCTTGGTCCTCCATTTGTCCAAGGGAAGTGGAAGTGCTCGGACACGGCCAGGGTCGTATAGGGCTCGACGTGGTCGAAGGTGTTGTCGGAGAAGTAGGGAAGCCATTTCCACTTGTCATCGGTGTGCACCAGCTCCACGTTGTGCTCTCCAGGTGGTGTTGCAGGTTCTAAGACCATAGATCCTTCTGGTGGATTACTTGCTTGTGAACCACTTGGCGTGGTCTTCAATCTCTTTGGAGGTGCTAGGGATTCTTCTCGGGACGAGGGAGGCCTGATGATGCCTGTCACTGGCGTCCCTGGTGCTCTTGTTGAAGTCCCGGCCGCCAGAGTAGTCAGATCGGAACCTGTCGAAGCGGCTCCATCTGGTTCTTGAGGTGGTGGATGTTGATCGGCTTCACCAGTCTCCATCTCTGCCTCCTGCTCTTCAGGGAACTCGTCGATGAGGTCGTTGAAGACACTATCATCATCTTGGAAAAGGGGAATCTGGTCTTCGCCGTCTTTGAGGTCATCGTCCTCCGGAACCGGTGGTAGATCTCTGCTTCTCAGGTCGTAGTACTTGTCCGGAGGGTTCTCCTGGAACTCCTGGAGGATGTGCTCATGCACGGGCCAAAGTTCTGTTCCAAAGGCGGGTCGAAGTTGTTCTCGAGCGACCAGAACACAGCGGCCTCCAGAAGCGACCCAGTAGTTGCTTTGCTTGACCGAAGAGTCACCCTTGTGAGGTCCGATGATGGTGCCTCTGTACCAGGAAGCTGGAATGCGCTTCCCTTTCTGCCCTTTCTTGCCTTGCCTGTATTTGGCTTCTCTCCAAAAGGCGACCAGTTCACCTGGATGGTAGAGCTCCTTCGCTGGGTGTGACTTACGAAGGATGGCGGTACGCACCGCTTCATTGAGGCGGTAGGCAGAAAGCTTCTCATCGGCCAAAGCCCGTGTGCGGGCGCGCTTCTTGAGCTCATCGTCCAACTCCATGGCCTGCAGCGCCTCAAACTTGCCGTCCGGCGACAGAATGTCCTGTGGCAGGACAGGACTCTTGCCGAACACCCATTGGTAGGCAGAGCATCCCGCGCTCCGTATCCGGTCGTTCATGGCTGCGCCAACGGCGCAAGCTAGAGTGCGCATGTCTCGCTCTCCGGCGAGGTTCAAAGCATCCACAAGCTTGGAGGCTACGTGTTGGAAAGCACGGTTATATGCCTCGATCTGTCCCACTTGCCAATGTGCTTCAGCAGGGGGGCAGTCTATGTTGACTCCCATGTTCCTCATGCGCTCTGCAAACTCGCCTTGGAAAGCGCCGTCCTGGTCGATCCAAAGCTCTTTGGGAAAGCCTGACCAGGAGCACCGCAACAAGGTCACCAGGTCGAAGATCTGGCCAGGCTCTCGTGTGGGGCATGGCCAAAACACGTTGAAGGAACCGTTGGGCTCCAGGATGTGCAAAAAGGCGAAGTTGTCCTTGTTGGCATCCGGGGCGGAGCTTACTGTTAAAGGAGCCAGGGCCTTGGTATTCCAGGCTTCTTGGTTCTCTCGCAGGTAGCGCATCTCAACCTGCGGCTAAGTTCAATCGCATCGGGCTCAACTGTTCCATCTTGGATCAAGGCCCTCGTCAGGTCGGCTTGTGAAGGGTGGCCCAAGTTCTTGTGCAGCTTTGCCAGTATTGGGGCCAACTTCTTCTGCTTGTTGTTGAGAGGTGGACCAATGAACCATTGCTCATCTCCGCCAACGGACTGCTTGGTCAGTATTGGCGATTCCAGGTCCACTGTCGGGTCGGCTTGCGCTGATTGCCTTGGAGGTTCTTGTTGAGGAGCGGGTTCTGCTGGGTCTCCTGGAGGATAGCCCAGGACGAAGATGCCGAGCCTCACGGGGTAGACAAATCGTTCCCTTGGGGCCTGCGCCGTCTTGAGGTGCTCGGTCTCGATGGTGAGTGAATCATCTGCATGTAGTAGCACCGAGCAGCGATGGCATTCTTCTAGTCCAGGTCGAACTCGCTTCGCTTTTGGCAGGTGTGCCAACTGGATGTTCATGATTTGCCAAGGAACCAATGCCGAGATCTTGGCATAGAGAGGTGAATCCGGCGGCACGAAAATGCTGCCTTGGTTCTTGCGACCCAAGACCTCCATGGCCTCTTCAAACAAAGGCCGCCACTTGTCCTCGGACTTGTCCGCGTCCACGAACCAAGCCGTCTTATAGTCCTCCTCCTCGTTGAAGGTCTGGGCGCCAAAGTCTTCCTGCTCAACCACTCTCCAGAAGGCGCGACAAATGGCGTCTGCCAGAAAAGGTGGGTAGCATGCTGAGGCTGCAGTATTGGAACCTTGCGCGGGTTCATGTTGGTGCGAGCCATCGCACTGTGCGTCCAGCTCTTCAATGAAGTAGGAGTGAGTGGCGATGAAGCGAACCCGCTTCATCATAGGCCTGCCAGCCTTCCCAACTAACCCGAACATGCAGAGGCAACTGGTGGTCTCATAGTACTTCTCCCGAAGGCGAAGAATCTCAGGTTGCCGTTGTGAATCTGCAGTCGCGGGGTTCTCGCGTAGAGCATGGCCTCCATTCTGTACCTGGACGGAGAAGATGTCCTCCGTCAGCTTCAAGAAGGGTCGGTCACGTTCTTGTCGAGCTTCCAACTCCTCGGGCTTGTCCTTATAGTTGACGTTCCTTTGCAGGATGGTCCACGGTGTGCAGGGGTACTCCACGATGGCCAAGCGAACCGGGGTCTTCTTGAGGTTCTGAAGCAGCCATCTCCTCATTGATCTTTGCCGAAGATCCACACCGTACAGGATGTCCAAGGGTTGAAGCGCCCTCATCCTCCACAAGGTGGTGCCACGTATCGTGACCATGGAAGATCCACCGAACACTTCGATGAGGTCAAATCGGAAGTTGGAACGTGGCCACTTGGACTTCTGAAGCTTCTGCATCACCATCTTCTGTTGCCACTTCGAAGATGACAAAGCTTGCCGGGCCATGTTCTTCATCCGCTTCTGTTGTCCAGGCTTCAGCTTATGGGCTTGAAGAGGTTCATCTAGCCTTCGAACTCGTCCTCGCTGATCATGACCGCGTCGTTCTCGTCCAGCGAGTAGACCACGGGCACTCTGGTCGAAGTCTTCTTCGTGCCAGTGGGCTTCTTCTCTTCCTTCACCTTGGCTTTCGCCTTGGCCTTGATGTCCTTGAAGTCCGGAGCTCCATAGGCCATCTCCGTAGACGTATGTCGCGAGGAAGACGAGTAGCCAGAGGATTTGCTGGATGAAGCCTTTATTGAAGGTTCCGGGCGTGCTGTCGCGCCCTTGATGACCTTGCCGCCTGGTCGATCGCGAACTACCACCAAGACCTTGTACACGGTCACCAGCTCGTTCTTCAGCGGGATCGTGTAGTCCAAGCCGCGCCACACCATCCCACAGTTGACGCACTCCAAAAACTTGCCATGGGCGTTTCCATACCTCCTTCCATGTTCGAGGAGGTGTGGGCATCTGTCCGGCTGAGTCCGGTAGTGCAGGTTCATCGGATGGGGTGTCTGTCCGCGAGCCAAGGTCGTTGCCGGTGGCAAAGCCGGTGGAAGGTCCTCCATGTAGGTCGCATCCATCTCGACCAGAGCCTCGGCATAGCCCATCAGCGCCGGTGAGCGATACTTCAACTCTCTCACCGCCTTCGTTGAAGCCACCATCTTGTGCACCACGTGGATGTAGGTCAGGAGGCTGCGCACCAAGCGTCCCCATTGCTGCGTCTCGTGGTCGCCAGGGACGTGAGCTTTCCTCATCGAGGGGCTTGGTCGCGATGCTGTCTCTTGACCCGAACTCTCCGGGAGGCACGGTGAATCTCACAGCTTGTCGATCCACCGGCAAATCCGGTGGGTGTACAGAAGCATCAAAAGCTTTCAGGACACGTTTGTGTACGGTGCACTTGACTGAAGATGGATGAACGCGAAGGGTCTCACCTGATTCTAGAGACACATCTACACCAGCTGGTTGCCAGGGCTTCATGACTGCACGAATGTCGAGCGTCGAGTCGCAGTCACGGCCGAAGAGGATGGTGTAGCCCGTCCAAGGTGCTTCAGATTGAGGGGTGTCATCCCAAGTGTCCACCAATTCTTTGTTAGACCCATGCTTGATGGTGATCCTGAGGGGTTGCAGTTCATCAGGTCGGGGACCATCAACCACTTCAGAAGGGGTGAACCTTGTGGATCTTGGGCGGTGGTGGTGTCGAACATATACCTGAGGATGATCGAGGTGGTATTCCCATGTATCTGACTGTATAGTGCATGGAGACCTCATAGTGACTACGCCATCAGAGAAGGGATCATCCTCAGCGTTGTAGACATGGGTGCTCACGTTGGAGGGCTGCGTATAGACTTTTCCTGTGGCCCAAAGGACTCCAGCGTAGCCGTCATGGCATGCTGTGCGGTCTTGTGGCCAGCCTGCAGCCGGAAAATCATCAACTGCCACAACCAAATGTCCGGTGTGGTCTACAAAAAGATCCGCAGCGGCGTCTAAGGCCTTGAGGTAGATCTTCTGCTCTCCAACGTCGATCACGGCTCGAACGAGCCTCAGCCAGTCTTGTCCAGCCAGCCAGGGGATCTTGCCGCTGTTGGGGTCCGTGTCGTCCAGAGTGGACGTCTTGATCACTGTCGGTCGTCCACCGATGCCTACCGGCACGTGCCAACGGTGAAGTGAGGTGCGAGGATCTCCAGGACCAAACCTGTAGGATTCCTTCTCCTCAGTGATCAGGGGCCGGACTTCGAACTTGCGCTGCAAGATCTCCGCGACATGTCGGAGCTGGGTGAGGCCACCAACGGTGTTCTCACATGCAGTGTCAATGGTGAGGTAGGCGCCGTTCTTCTGCACGGTAGGCCTCATTCTCGTGTTGCTCAATGCGCCACGAGGGTTGCACCAAGTGATCTCCGTCATGTCGTCCTCGTCCGAGGTGATGTCATAGTCAATGGGGGAGTGCTGCACCATGTGAACAGGTAGAGGTCGATCGTGGGGAAGGCCTCGAGGTAGGCATTCTCCAGGAAATCCGTGTGCTGGTACTTCGCGATGTGGTCTCTCCGCATTGACTGTCAGCACCACTCGTAGCTTGTCCAAGTCGACATCCGAGGTTGCCGAGGAGGAAGACGGTGGGCGTAGTAAATCCCACACTGAGAAGCCAAGGTCGTCATCTGCTTGAGGGAGTCCAAGACGTTCTCGTGCTTCCTTGATGGCCTCCGGCGCAGTCGATGCATGGCCGCGAGCCTTCATCCGCTTCTCATCCATGTGCTTCTGCACCTCTGCCGTCGCGGTGAAGACGTCGAAGGGCTTGTCCTTGCTGCGGGCATGCTCGGCCAGGAGGACGGATGCAGCCTTGGATGGTTCGGTCTTCTGCCCTTCGCCAGTCGGATCTGGCTCTGCTGAGCGAACCTTCCGCTTCATGCGGTTGATGTCTCGCACCACTTCCAAGGCGTCTTGGGCTTCCAGCTTGATGTCGGACTTGTCCACCTTCTGAGTGCGGTAGACGGTTGACGAATTTGTTGGCTTCGCCTGTGCATTGTAGTCGGAAGACTTAGGAGACGAAGTAGTTGGCATCTTCTGGCTGTAGAGCTCGTTCTGGTCGTGGCCACCGCCAGTCATCCAACCTTCACGCTGGTGTTCTTCATCTTCCTGCCATCCATCCCAAAAGGCATCGTCCCAGCCCTCTGCAGCGTCCTCATAGTCGAGGTCATAGTTGCTGGTCTCGTGCGCCTTCTTGGGACCTTTGCACTGTGGATCACCTTTCCAGTGACCCTGCTCACCACAAGTGGTGATCTTCTTGAGTTCATCCAGGCTCATGCCACGGGCCTTGCCCTTGCCAGAGCTCGAAGAACCCTTGGAAGGTCGCGAAGTCGAAGGAGAGGAGGTAGATTTGCCCTTGCCCTTGCCCTTGGTCTTACCAAAGCCTTTGCCGCGGCCCTTGCCGTGGCTGTTCTTCAGGTAGAAGCCTCTGGCCTTCACAGCCTGCGCCAGCTTCTGCCTGTTCTCACGGTGTGTAGCAAACACCTCATGCAACTGTCGGGCAAGGTCCTCGGGGAGGTACTCGACGTCCGCGTCCGCCAAGTCTGTCTGAACGGGAGCCATGTCTCCAGGTCGACCTCGGTGTCGTAGGTCTCATTGCCATCCCAGTGGCCCTGAGTCTCGTGTGCTGTCCTTGACTTGCCATAGCCGCGACCAGTGTTTTGGTCAAAAGCGCCACGGCGAGCGTTGACATAGGTCTGAGGGTAGAGGAGGTCCACGGCGGCCTTGATCTTCTTCCACTCATAGCCGCCTCCGGTCCGCAACAGGATGTTGGCCTGTCGCTCCAAGCTGCTATTGGTGTGCTCGAAGAACATGTACAAAGATGGGCCCCCCTAGTTGGAGAACTTGTAAAGTGCCGTAACATATGTTATAACATGGGTTAACTGATGTTGTAAGCTGGTCTAAGATTGTGAAGTGTTCTAAGTTCTTGGTGGTATTTACGTTGCAGTTACAAATTACTTTCGATATATATAAGTAAGTTATCCTAGTTTATGTTGGAGGGTGCTAAATTAGTGCTAAATCACTTACAACTTACTTAGGGAACTTAGGTTTTTGCATTGAAAAAACTATGTTTTTTGTGGACGGGTTTGCAGAGAAGCGTTTTTCAATGTTTTTTTGGTGTACTCTTCTTTTTTGTGTAGAACTGAGACTGATTAGCGCATCTTTGTATTTTGTGTTGTTTTGGAAACATTTTTTCTGTTTTTATGGGCGCGATTGTTTTTTATGTTTTAGTCGTGAAAAATTTGTGGGGTGGTGGTCCACCCGTACGACAGAGTAGTACTTTGCACACAGAAACACGTAAATATGCAACACGCACACGTAGTAGAATATAGTGTAACGAATCCATTATGTAGGCCATGGAACAACTAGAAGCCATTAAGCTGGATCACGCCCCAAAATTGAGGAGTAGATCCTTGCCTGTCCGTGACGCATCACAAGACGCACACACACACAGTCCCTCAAAAGATCTGATGTAACCTGATGAACAAGAGGCTATATGTACAGTAGATGTACGGGAATGTACGGTAATGTACGGTAGATGTACGGTAGATGTACATTCCCGTACATCTACCGTACATTACCGTACATCTACCGTACATTACCGTACATTACCGTACATCTACTGTACATATAGCCTCTTGTTCATCAGGGTGCACCGCGTTTTTTGGGCACCGGCCACAACTTTTTGGACGGACCACCGCGATCAAAATTTTTGGACGGACCACCGCCATCAACTTTTTTGGACGGACCACCGCCTTCGATTTTTTGGACGGACCATCGCCTTCAATTTTTTGGACGGACCACCGCCCAGCGTGTTCCTAACACACAGATGTAGGTCATTGTGTGTGTTCTGTTTTTCTTATGCGTTTTGATGGTGTAAAGTAGAAAGTGTTTTTCTTTTAGCGCGGTGGTGGTCCACCGAAGAAATTCGAAGCGCATTTTTTGCTTTTTTTTGTTTTGCTTTTTGCTTTTCTTCAGCAAAGCGGCGCGGTGAGTGTTCTACATTAAAAACCCTTGCAACAGCAGCGCTTTCCCAGGTAAAAAGCATAGTTTTTCGATGTCCTTCGGTTTGGGCCTTGCTACTGGGAAACCTGAAAAAACATAGTTTTTGAACATCAAAAATCACCAATTAGAACTTATAGAACTTAAAAACAGTTACATTTAAGTTACATCTTACTTACGAAGCCCTCCGGCTAACTTAGCTTTAAGTAATTTGTAACTTCACCAAGTAAGTTACAAGTGTTTTAACTAGGGGGGCTCATCTTTGTAGGTCATGATCTCGTCGGGGATCACCAAGCCGGCTTCCTTGCACTGCCTCGCAGCCTTGTCCAGCATGTCGCCAACTTCAGCCAAGGTCCTGCTCTTGTCGTTGACGGTCATCCGAAAGAAGCCGCGCATTGCAGAGCCAACCTTGTGCATCCTCTTCTCGTCGAACTTCTCCTGCAAGACGTGGATGAGGATGCGCCAGCCTTCAGGGACTCCGAACGTGCGGGCAGGCACGTCTTCCAAGTACTCGGCTGCATCACCTTCTAATGCAGCATGGAGGCGAAGTCCGATCTCCGAGTCGTCGATGATCTTCTTGGCGATCTCGATGTACGAGTCGACTTTCTGCACCCAATGCTTGAAGCATTTGACATCTTTCTTCCGGTCTCCATCGAAGGCCGGGGCCTGAGGCAGATTGCCTCGTGGTCGATGTCGTGGTCCTCCATCCTCATGAGCTGCCTTCGAACGGGTGCTCGAAGGCGAACTGCCTGCTCCTGAGCCGGACGCTCGGGGAGCAGAGGGGCTCTGACGGGGCCCATTCCGACCAAGACGAAGTCCTCGAAGAGGTCCAGTGCCGTAGGCCTCAGCCAGGTCCTCGTCATCGTCTTCGGGGTAGGTGTCACCGGTTTCATCATCCGGCTCGTTGAAGCTATCTCCACCATGAAGTCCTTCTTCAGGTAGTTCAGGGGGTAGTGCTCCATCGTCATCGTCATCATCGCCTTCATGGCGGTCGCCAGCAGCGCCGAAGAGGTCAGCAGCGGCCGGCATGGACAGCGAGCACGGCGATCGAATCGCTCCGCTGCCAATGCAAGATAGCGGGTTCACACGCTAGGGGGTCATGCGCAGCACAGTCTGCGTCTTTTCGAGCATAGCTCAAGGGCCCTGCGGTCACAGGGTCGTGAGGTTCGAACGACATGGACACATGCCAAACTTGCAGTTCGATGGGTATACATGAAGGCATGTGCAACACTCAAAAGCAGTGTCCCTCTTTTTCCTACCCCTGCCGATCAACCCAATCCTGGAAAAACACATCCAGAGACGCCCAAGATCCTCTAACAGTTGCACAAGGGTGCTGCTATATTTTTGGGCACCAACGCAGCCACTTCTTGGGTAAGCCAACTCTTGCTTTAGACTAGAAAAGCTGGAGCATGGAAGAGAAGAAGCTGGCATGTCAGCATTGATGGTGTCTATTGCATGGCGCCATATTGCTATATTGAACTATTCTTCTCTGGCATAAATACAAGTTGATAAATGTGAACCTTATTTTGCAAGGGGGACACATACGAGTACTTGATTGCTTTGGCACATTTCAACCTTGCCTGGTGCCCTCATTTACCGTACCTGCCGGCCTCAACTTTTCCTGGCCTAGGCCTGAGCGTGGCGAATGATTGCAGCAAGGCATTTTGGAATCCTTTCCTTTTAGCATACTGTACTACAAACTTTCACTGCTTATATAATTCATTTGGAACATGCTTACGGACTTTCTGTTCCGGAGTGCAAAACAATTTGTGTGATTCGAACAAACTCCAAAGCACAAACCTGAGCCAGTCTATATATCAGCACAGTTAACATCAGTAGTGAAATGCACACGCAATTGCAGCTAGAAGGTGCAACACGTCACCTGCTAGTTTGGAAGATGCTGGACATGTTCAGAACCTCGATCCTTTTATACCACCGGATTCTGGCTAGCAGCTAGCAAATTATTAGATTTGCTGACCGAAGATTCGTTCTCTTGAACGGCTTTAGATAACCAATGCCAATGCGGTTTCCACGCAGCTGGGTCATTGAAATACACTATATCCAAATTGCAAGAGGACATCTTGGTGTCCTTGTCAAGCTCGGATGATGGATGCTTCAAAAAGTGTTGAGACAACGTCATGGATCCCAGCAAGTGACTGGGTTCCCAACGTCATTGCGCTGGGATTGTGCGGCGCGTCACTAAACACACTCAGCAATTCAACACCTGACAAGAATGTGCTCCATGCGCTTTCAGGAAACATATATCTTTTACTGCATACTGCTTTGCCTTTCTAAAGGAAGAATCTTCATCTCGCTATACATTTTACATGATGGATGTACTGATACTATCCGTTTGTTTTATATCAGACTTGAACCAACACTGCCGCCCAGTATGCAAAAAAAAGAAACATGTCCTTTCTACTGATCCCGGAAGGCTGCTTTCACCGGAACACTCTTGGCATCGAGACCAGCTTTGCAAAGGATATACATGGATATACCATTTTTGTAGCATTTGCGAAAGCTCGTTTATGAATTATGTTAATAATGTTCTTCATCACCAATTGATTGATAGAACTTGGAACAGCCTCGGCCAAAAGAAGCTATTCTTCATTGGTTGAAAGTTGACATCATTAATCATTATTGACAATCTTCCCCGGCAGCACGCTGTATTCACCAACCTTTACACGTATACAACTCGGTGTCCTTCTGCTGCCTTTGGCAGAAACAGCTTACATCGTAATCATCACTGGCTTTGCCTGGCTCCTTCCGGAGAACGGGGTGAATGATTTCCTGACAGAATAACATGACAAACACCCTACCTATACTGAGTCACTACTTGCAACAACTAGTCCTTCTGCAAAGATCTACCAAGCTCAATCACGCAAACTCCAAGAGCCAAGCGCGAGGCCCATGATTTAAAAACTCAGGGCTCACAAGCAAACTAAAGGCATGCCGTGGCATGCTAATCATCCAGCTGCGCGTGCCCCCAGAATATCATCTGAACATCTTGGACAGACTCCTCAAGCTGCGAGCTTGATTAGTGCTAGTGTATGAAACATGGGAATTGACAAAACAAGGGCAGCTTATTCACGTTACCTTAGAATTAGTAGCCCTCCACCAGCATCGCTATAGAACAGTTATGTTGTCCAGGGAAGTAGTTGAATCTACAAACCCACAGAGAGCGTACTAGAAGGAGGGT